TTTGAACTTCATGCCAACAATACATTCCAAAAAAAGTTGGGACGGGGGCATGTTTACCACTGTGTTGCATCACTTCTTCTTTTAACAAACTCTATAAGCATTTGGGAACTGAGGAGCCCAACTGCTGTAGTTCTGAAAGTGAAATGTTTTCCCGTTCTTGTTTGATACAGGATTTCAGCTGCTCAACAGTTCAGGGTGTCTTTTGTCATATTTTTAATTTCATCATGTGCCAAATGTTATCAGTGGGTGACAGGTCTGGGCTGCAGGCAGGCCAGTTTAGCACCCAGACTCTTTGAAAGCAGAGCCATGCTGTTGTAAGACATGCAGAATGTGGTTTCACATTGTCTTGCTGAAATAAGCAAGGCCTTCCCTGAAAAAGACGTTGTCTGGATGGCAGCATATGTTGCCAAAACATGTATATATTGTTCAGCATTAATGGTGCCTTCACAGATGTGCATGTCAGCCATGCCATGTGCACTAATGCTGGGGTTTTCAACCTGTGGGGTACCTGTCCAGGAGGGGTGCGAGATTATGAGATTTTTGACTTCGAACACTGAAGTGAAAAATTTAATACTGTGGTGAACCTTTCCCGTCAGTCCTAAACAATTCATTTTTCAACCACTAGAAGGATCATCTGATTAGTCTCGCTGACTACATACGCTACTCTAATGTTGTCCAGCACACAGTCTGAAAAATGGATCGGTGGCTAGCAAAAATTAAAAATAGGGCTAACCGTGAAGATAAATCAGTTGAAGCGAGTAGCAAAAACAATGACTGCGTTGTTTCAGCTGAGGAATCCACAAGTGAGGCCATCCATCCGACCCCATCGATCCCAATGAGCCATCCACATCATGCGCAGCGATACCACGACAGCGAAAAAGCCCCATACGATTGCAGAGACACTCATTCGTCTGGCAGCCATGGATATTTCTAGAGATATGCATGGAGCTAAGTTTGCTGGCGACATTGAGAAAACTCCACTCTCTGATAACACCATCAGCCGCCGTGTTGCTGAGATGGCAAACGATGAGAAGTGTCAACGAACAGAAACACTAAAGGGCGGAAAGAAATTTTCTTTGCAGTTGGATGAGTTGACAGACATTTTGAATGCATCCCAACTGCTTGTATTTGTCCACTACTGCCATGAAGGAAAACTGCTCAAGGATCTGTAGTTTTGCTGTGCACTGGAGGGACATGCACAAGGAGATCTATCTTTGAAAAGCTCAGTAGCAAACTGGATGAAATGGGTCTGTGCTGGGACAGTTGTGTTGGTGTGTGCACAGATGGTGCAGGTGCTATAATGGGGAAAAACAAAGGGGTAATGGCAATGGTTCGTGATGTAGCTCCCCATGTTCGTTTCACTCACTGTATGATTCACAGAGCAGCAAAAACTTTCCCTTCAGAGTTGAGCAGTGTGCTACAGACAGCAACACAGATCGTTAATCTTATTAAAACTCGTGCAGTGAAGTCAAGACTGTTTGCCCTGTTGTGCAAAGAAATTTAATATGTTGTCTTTGTGCTATTTTCAATTAAATATATGGTTTAAATGATTTGCACATCATTGCGTTTTGTTTTTATTTACATTTTGCACAGCGTCCCGACTTTTTTTTGAAATGAAGTTGTACTTTCATGGGCGACCTGGAGCTGAGCAGGATACAAGAGGCTGAATCTGACTCCTTTCCTGTAGAACAGGGATTTTACCTCCCTGAACACTACTGGTTTTCTCCCCAGCTTTGCACTAAAATCCTCTTGGAAAAACACCTGATGCCCATGGAAATATAGTCTGCTGATGATGCAATTCATGTCTTGAAAGTAGTGGAAGAGAACAAGGTACATTTTTGGTCTCATTTGGTCTTAATTCATGAATTTGGGTGGTTTAGATCCAACTCAGTGGGCATGCGAAAGCAGGAGAGGTCTTGGGTAGAAATCTGTCCCCAGCACTTCTTCAAAAAACTCAGTCATAAATTTTACAATTTCCGAACCTTCCAAATTTTCTGGAATGCCGACCACTCTCAGATTCGATCTCCACCACAATTCTCAAGGTCATCTAACTTCCCTTTTAAAAAAGTATTTTTACTTGGTAATGTTGCTTTGGCGGCCTTGGTGCTCGCCAGTCAGTCACTGTCGTTTAGGCCATCTTCAACCCCTCGAATGCAAGTTCTCTTTTTAGTGCAGAATGCACTGAATGAAGTACTGCACAAAGCCTCTCGAGATCTTCTGATAGCGCAAGTCCAGTGCCAGGCAGTGGCGCCGCAGCCATGACTTCAGCTTTCTTGTTTGCGGCTTCAATGTCTTTTTTATTTTAATTCGGAGGTGCATTTTACTTGCCATTTCAGTGTCTGGTAACATCCTGAGTTGTACACAATATTGAAAAATGAGTTACCTCAAGCAGACAACAAAGATGAACAAGTAGACTGAGTAAAAATCGGGAGCCACACTCGCACACACCAGCATACTCCATGTTCAACCAGGAAAACTTTCTCTCCTGTTAAATGAAAGTAGTTGAGATAATGCAGTTGAGAGGTGTTTTTTTAATACTGACAATATCCACCATATTTAGAAAAGATATCCAGAAAAGCATACTGTAATTATCATGATAATGATACAAATTGTCATATTACTCAGCCATAGTAAAACTTTTAAAAAAGTGCATAGAATTGACACATCATTCACTTGTAAAACAATATACAGAATTGATACATAATTCACATGTAAAGTATTACTCAGAATTGACACATAATTCTGTGACAATAGAGAAAAAAGTCTTATAGTCTGTCCATTATGAATATAGTACGGGTGTGACAATATGCAAATGGACAGTATTGTCGTTTGACAGTATTGTCATTTTTGAATCACGATACATTTTTGATACAGATTTAGACAAGAATTGCTAACGTAAATAAACACAAAAATAAATACTGAACTTACCAAACATTTTTTTTTTGTTTTTGCACAAATTATTTTCTTGGAAGACAAAAAATAAGTGGCTTAGAGAGTGGATTTTGTAGTCACTCCCAGCAAACTGCGGAATGCACCAAAGAGACTCTGCAGCTGAATAGAAGTGCAAAACGGTAACTATTGTTATAACCTCATAAAGGATTCTAAAAGAGGTTGTACATAAAAATAGGCCAAATGCCAACCCAACCAGCAGACCAAACACCATGAACCCAGATAAGATAGAAAGATGTCAACATTATTCCTTTCATCGATCAGATCTGAATTGCCATTCCTTAAAGGCAACATAACAAGGTAGCAGAAAAAAGATAAATTTGTTTACATTATCCATCTACCAGATACAATATAGTAAGATATTATAAAAGGGGATAAAGGTCTTCAGTGGAGAACTATTGCCCAAAACCAGCTAGAAACAAAGTCAACTAACACATAGGATGAAAAGAAAGATACAAACAACTACCCTGTGTCCCTGAACCAAACCAGGAGAAAATGGTAGCAAACAAAACAGGGCACTCACCCCCTGCTTTAGAAAACAAGTGTTACATGATTCATTAAAGAAACATCTAGGCTGATTAAGACAAGCTAAACCAAGGTGCTGGGTTTGATCTGGTCAGTGGGTGAGCAGATGGCACAGATGCAACAACCGAAGCAATCAACCACCATCTTGCTTTCCAAGGCCCTTTTATAGCTGGAGCACCCCCTGCTGTAGCCAATCTGAAGTTTAAAGTGCAGGTCCTAATAAAAGCATAGTGGAGCATGAAAAAGAGAAAGACAAAAGGGCAAGGCAGAAAAAACAGGCATAGGCACCATAAGGGTTGTAACACTATGAACATCTCTATGAGCGAGCTATTTGTTTTGCCCATTTAGAATTGGCACTTAGCAGTTGTATGAATCCTGTGGGGAGAAGTAGCAGCAGAGACTTGTTTTTTCTCAGAGGCGGAAGTTGGCTTCCCATTTGCCAGCCTCTTACTAAAATTTTCCATTCCATTTAAAATGGAGCAGCAGTTACATGTTACTGATGCTCCATTTAAGGTGAAATGGAAAATTTTGATTCAAATTAGAAGCTGGATAACTTCTGCCTTGCATTGTCTCCTCGCACTGGTAACTGAGTCATATTTATTTTTTATTTAAATAAAACAATAAACCAAACAGTGCAGGGAAAGTACAAAAAAAGACCAAAGGGCCTGTACTAGGCACTTTCCCAATTAGATTAACTTACATTTAGATTAGATTAATTAGATTAAGTGACCCTTATTAATCCCACAACGGGGAAATTTCACCTCTGCATTTTAACCCATTCGTGCAGCGAAACACCACATACACACTAGTGAACACACACCAGGGAGCAGTGAGCACACTTGCCCAGAGCGGTAGGCAGCCCTATCCACAGTGCCTGGGGAGCAGTTGGGGGTTAGGTGCCTTGCTCAAGAGCACTTCAGTCATGTACTGTTGGCTCAAGGGATCAAACCGGCGACCTTCAAACCTCCAGCCCACGACTGCCCCCAGGAAAATAGATACATTTTGTGCATTTGGGTGATGTCCTCACTAATGAGTTAGCATATTTGAGGTATTAGCATGGGTATCTGTCCCCTGTCATCTGTCTGGCAACTCGGTCACCATTCAGTCTACCACTTTTTGCCCCTGATTGTACTCGATTGAGAAACCTTGCCATTTCAAATAACATGGCTTTTTTACGTTCATAATTATCACTTTTAGCACTTTCAGGATTACCATAAATTGTGTTAAATGAAACTATGCAAAACATAAATGTAATAGATTAACAGGACATATCGTCTCAATATAATGCCCTTGATAGTGGTCAAACTTTGGTATGTTCAGTGATGTCAAGGAATAGAAAGCAAAGCATGAGGAATGCTCTTCTAAGATTGTTAAAAATAATACTTAGTAAATGAAAAAGTACATAAAATTATATTAGTAACTATTACACAGATTTGTGATCACGCAAAGTAAAACAGTATGAGCTTCAGGGAAGCTTCTGCTGGAAAGTGAACCAATTTAACATTAAGAAAACATTAAATGTTCTAAAGAAAACGACAGAATGGAATGCAGTTATATGTTGTTAAACATATGTTGTTAAATGTGTACTGAAACTACCTTTCATATCAGATTGTCTGTCTTCTTCCTCTATTTCATCCTTCTTTGTCTTACAAACATGATGAACAAATCGATCTACTCTTCTGCCCAGTGCTGTTCTTTCTGCCTCTACCTCTGCACAACCCTCTACAAATCCTTTGACTCTCGCCACTTTTACCTTTTGATCAAGTTTGACATAAAAATCCTCCTCTGCCTGTTTTCTTGCTATTCGTTCAGTCTGTGTTTTAAGATTCTCCATCTGTCTTTGGTGAATCTCTACAATTATTTCAAGATTTGTCCTTTCCACTTCACACCACATTGTCTCTATCTCCTCTCTCTCTTTTGTAAAAGTCTCCATCTGCATCAGTAATTGTTTTTCCATTTCCTTTCTGAGTTGTTCTTCTTTTTCATTTCTTTCTTTCTCCTCTTTCTCTCTTTGTGCCTCCAGTTGTTCCTTCATCTGTCTTATTTTTTCATTTGCCTCATTTTCTATTCGTTTCCTCTCCTGTTCTTCTTTCTCTTTTCTCTCCTTTTCTTTTAAATCTCTCTCCTCCTTTTCTTTTTGCTTTTCCCATTCATAATGTTTTTGCTTTCTAGCCTGCTGTAAATACCAGGCTTCCTCCATTGATGCAATTGTTTTCTCCCAATATTTCTGTTGTTTGTCTCTCCTCTTCTCCTCCTCCTCCATCCTCTTTATCCACTCTCTCTGCTGAGTGAACTGCAGCTCTTGTAGCTCCTTCTTTTTACTTTCCTCTGCACGCTGGATTTTCTCTTCCAGTTCCTTTCGTCTTTTCTCCTCCTCTTCTGCCTTTTGTTTATAGCCATGCTGTAATTTCATTAGTTCTTCTCTTACAGTCTTTTTCATGTCTTCTCTTTCTTTCTCAAACTTCTCTCTTTCCTCTTTCTGTTTCTTCTTCCATTCTTCTTCTTTCTTTCTTCTTTCCTCCTCCTCCTGATCTCTCCGTCTCTGGTCTTCCTCTCTTTGTTTTTCCCACCGTTGTCTGTTCTCCTCTCTTTCTCTGTTAATCTCAGCCATCCACTCTTGCATCTTCTTCTCATCTTCTTCTTTTCTTCTCTTTATGTCTTCTCTTTGTTTCCTTTCCCTTTCAGTCATCTCTCTTTTTATCTCCAGTTCTTTTTCTTTAAATTCTTTCTCTCTTTTTCTCCCTTCTGCTTCTTGTCTTTCTTTTTCTCTCTGTATCTCTATTCTCATACCCTCCATTTCAGCTTCATATTTGGTTTTCAGTCTTTCTTTCTCTCTTTCTATCTCCTCCTCTTTCTCCTTCAGTATTCTCTCCTGTTCATCTTGTAGAGCTTTCTCTACCTGCTGGAACATCTCATTAGTGTAGCAGCTTCCTCCATTCACTGTCACCATGGAGTCAATCTTCTCCAGTAGATCAGTGACCTGGGTGGAGCAGCTTTTATTGCTGTTGTTGAGCACATGATATCTGTTACCAAAGTCAAACAGAAATCTTTTCAAGGTTGGTCCACACTTCTGTATATATTGTTCAACTGTGTTTCCTTTTAGCAAATCTCCTTTACTGAAGACCACTATAGTGTACATTTTAGATTTCTCACCAAATGTATCTCTGATCATATTCACTGTGTCTTGCTCCTCTTGGGTGAAGCGCTGTCCAATGCTCAGCACCAGGAGGAACACATGTGGACCTGGAGCTGCCATGGAGATGCACTTAGTGATCTCTTTAGTGATCTCCACATTAGGAACATTAGTATCAAACAGTCCTGGAGTGTCAATCACATTGATCTGCCTCCCATTTATGTCAGCTGTCTCTTTCTGACACACAACAGTAACTGATCCACCAATATCTTCATTGAACATATCCTCTTTCCCCAAGATGGTGTTTCCTGTTGCACTCTTCCCAACTCCTGTCTTCCCCAGCAGAACAATCCGCAACGTCTCAGGGCCTTTTGATGAACCTGTACAGGGAGAGATCATTGAACTTCCCAATCTGCATCCCAAATTGTTGCCTTTTGATGCCCTGCAACAAACTTTGAAAGCTCTAAAAACTATTTTAAAAATCAACTTTAATTTATTAGTGTAAATTATTACATATTTCCTTTTAAAAATTATCAATTGACAGTAATTTGTTATATATTTAAAACTAATTTCTGTCATAATAAGTCTCCTGGAGTTTGTTCTTTCTATTACAAAAAGCAAAGTAATACAGTTTTAAAAATACAGAACCATAATAGTTGATGCTGTTACTGTTATTGACCATATTTATTCATTAAATATTATATTTCATTTATGCATATGATATTAAAAATGAGTAAATAGATCCTAATGAAAAAAGAAAAAGAGTGCATATCACACATTTGTGAAAGACTTACACTGGCTACCTGTATCTTTCAGATTTTAAACTGCTTGTACTGCACTCTAAAGTAATGTTTTTTCAAGGGTTCATTAATAAAGACAATGGCTCTATATAGGATATATAAAATCCTTCTATTCTAGTCTTATTGGATCTTAGTGCAGCTTTTGATACTGTTGATCACAAGATTCTAATCCACCTGTTTGAATACTGGGTAGTCTTCTTAGGCACAGCTTTAGAATGGTTTAAATCATATTTAGAGAATAGCCAGTTCTTGTTTTTTCTCGGAAATCATTCACCAAAGAAACATTTCTTGTGGAGTCCAACAAGGTTCAGTTTTAGGGCCTTTGCTTTTCTCTTTGTATGTTACCTCTAGTTGATGTCATTAGGAAACATATCAATTTCCATAGCTGTGCTGACGACACACAATTAACATTTCCATTCCTTCTGATAATCAAGACTCTATAGACAGGCTTATCAGATGCTGATTCAGATATTTCTCAGTGGATATCACAAAAAACTGAGATACTGATTCTTGATATTAAAACTCAGAAAAAGCTGCTTTCTGACAAGCTCAATTTTTTAGCTTCATGTATGAAACCTGGGTGTGATCATCATGTTCAGATCTGAGCTCTGTTTTATGCCAAATGTAAATGCAGTCACTAAAGTAGCTTTTTATCATTTGAGAAATATCACTAAAGTTCAGCTTCTTCTATCTCAAAGCGACGCAGAGAAACTTGTTCATGCATTTGTTACAAGCAGAGTTGATTACTGTAATGCTCTTCTCATTGGACTTCCTAAGAAAATAATCCATCCTCTACAGTTCATACAAAATGCAGCAGCATGAATCCTAACAAAGACAAAAAAGAGAGATCATATTACCCCTATTTTGAAAGAACTTCACTGGCTACCTGTTTCTTTCAGAATAGATTTTAAAGTTCTGCTGCTAGTTTTTAAGGCTCTAAATGACCTTAACGCACCCACTCGCATCACAGAATGTCTGTCCGTTTATGTCCCAGCATGTGATCTTAGTCCTGCAGATACTGACCTTCAGCAAATATCTTCCGTAAAACACAGAAAACATGGAGAGACTCTTTCAGTTATTATGCTTCTAAACTGTGGAACACAATTACATCTTCTATAAGACAGTCAAGCTCAGTGCAAACTTTTAAGAAACATTGAAAAATGTATCTCTTTCATTTGGCATTTAATTAAAACTCTGTCTCTTGGCATTCATCTTTTTAATTCGATCTGCCATTTTTTTTATATATGATTTTATATTAGTACTCATTTCTTATATTACTGTTAAGCTTTGTCACTTGTCTGCGAAGCACTTTGAGTTGCCACTGGCATGAAAACAATTATTTTAAGTGTGTAGTTTTTTAAAGTTCTAAATGGCTGAACACCTGTCTTTCTATGTTCCTGAACATTGTCTTAGATCTGCAGATTACATGCCTTCTACAAACTGACTGTACAATACATTTTTTAAAAAAATAAGTCACTAAATTAAATCTCTTTATTTTAGATTTCAATTAAACTTTTACCTTTCTTTTTTAGTCATCTTCTTAATTCTAACTATGTTATGGGCTCAATTTTAATTTATCAGTACCCTGAAAGTTTATTTATTCAATTTTATTTTGTTTCCTGTTAATGAACTATAGCAGTAATGGAAGAAAACCACTAAATTCAACATTATTTTCTTTGATCACTGTGACAGAACTTTATCACCTGCCTGTAAAGCACTTTTCATACAGCTACTACCTAAATGACAGGGGGGCATGTTTGAAACAACTCAAATGCAATGCATTAGGAGGCATAATTAATAGAATGTCCAGTCTTCACAATGCATTCTCACATCACAACAATGTACATGGTCACAGTATTGCATAGCAATATCATGATATCACGAGTGACTTTTATGCTGCTATTTTTTACTTATATTTTTTACTTGTATTGAATTTTACCCTAACATGCCACCACCATGTCAGTGTCACTGCAGTGCTGAGAATAATCCACCACCCAAATAATACCTGCTCTATGGTGGTCCTAGGGGGTCCTGACCATTGAAGAAAAGGGTAAAAGGGGGCTAACAAATTGTGCAGAGAAACAGATGGACTGCAGTCTGTTATTGTACAACTACAAAGTGCACCTATGTAGTAAGTGGAGGACACAGAATTGACAATAGTGTAGATTAGGTAGCTGTACCTAGTAAGTGCTCAGTCAGTATATACACATAATGATTTTTCTAAAAATAAAACATCTTACCTTGCGTTTGACTCCAGTTTCTCAGTGTGAGATCACTGATTTTCTGTTGTAGATTTTCAATCTGTCTTTTGTACTGCAGCTGTGTTTCAACCTGGGCATCTACATACATGTCCATGGTGTACAGGCTCCCTCTGCTCTCTGTATGAAGCAACTTCAAACATTTAATCAGCTGTGTTGAATCTGTTTCGCCATCAACAAATTTGTATCGTCTGCCAAAAGCCTTTATCAATTTCTTAACATTGGCATCTAGTTTTTTGCTCTGAGATTGCTGGCTGATCAGGACTATAGTGTTCTTGTTGAGTCCTGAACCGAAAATCCTCTGGATCATTTCCATTTCTCCTTTGTCTTCATCAGTGAGGCAGCCTTCAGAAATGACTATGAAAAAGGCATGAACTCCAGGACCACAGAGAGAGACACAGTGGAAAGCCTCCTGTATCAGTTCCTTTTCTGAGAGCTGAGTGTTGTAGAGAGCTGGCATCTCCACCAGAGTGACCAGATGTCCAGATACCTCTCCCATCATTCTCACATACACTGAACTGGACTTCTGTTTCACTTTCTTGGCCATGTGAGATGTAGAGAATTTTTTACCAAGTAGAAGTTTAGATATTGAAGTCTTCGCTTCTTTTTCCCTCCCAAGCAGGACTACGTTTGATCTTGGTTTGGGTGCTGAAAAAAAAAAAACCCATACATACACCATACATGTCAATTTTCAGTAACATAACATTAGAAAAAAATGACAATTTACACAAGAAATATAGGCAAATTATTAGTTGCAGAAATCTTATAAATCTGCAAATATTGCTTTATCAAAAGGTATATTTATATTTTAGATGTCATTTTAGCACAAACGTCAAGCAACCCATCATTGCATGAAAAGGTGAGAAACTATTGTACTCTGTGGGTACAAGTCAGCTGAAAAGGTGTTGAGAAGATGTCTTTCTCTGACATGGTTGAAATGTGGTTGAATGTGAAAGGTTTTTAGAGATATTTTTCCTGATGTCTGGGAAATTCTGCTGCCAGGAAGTTGTTGTAATTTTAAAGGGTATTCTTTTACAGTGTACCAGCCCAGTCAAGTGGTCAAATCTGCCCTTTGCCCTTTCATAAAGCATTAATAAAACTGTGGTTTTACACTTGTGTTACACTTTCCAATACTATTTTATAGTTTAATAGGTAACTATTCAGGAACTAAGCAGGGACGAATGAGTAGTGCTGCATTAACACTTAAAATAAGGTAATTACTATTAACTGCCAATGAGTACTTTTTATTACACAGTAAGTCATAGTGAACTGTTGATTAGGGTAGTTCACTGTTAACTGAACAATAACAACTGAGTCTTATACAGCTCTTAAAGAACTACTTAGTAACCATGGTTTCTTAAAATAACTAATCATATATCACTGATCAATTCAACATTAATTGCTTAATAGCATCTAACGGGCTCCTGGTGAACTACTAACTAATGTAGTGTTTTACAACATTTCTAAAAGTATTGAAATGCACTACACAGTGTGCAGTCTCTGTAATATGAAGGATTATATCTCACATTATTATTCACAGAAACAGGTATCCTCAGAGAAGATGGGAGGCACCAGACCACACTGTACTGACTGGTGTCCCTCATGTGTTTGTTTTGATCTTCGTATTTGGCAGTGTGAACCAAATTGCATATCAGCACCTACAACTGAGGCTGTGTATGCATTGTGTATCTCCAAATTCGTTGGGAAAGTTCTGCTAAAGATTACCAATTGATTGTCTAATCTAAAAATATGTTAGATAATGAATGCGTTGTAATTGTGTTTTTCATTAGGAGATATTAATGATCTGAAACAGTGTTATAAAGTGAAACACATGGTAACTAAAAAGACATGGACTGAAAGTAAAATATTACACTGGTTGGTCTAGATTATGAAATAAAATATATGTCATTCATTACGCATTTTTACATGTTTATGTAACTAGAAAATACATTACTGGGATCAATTTTTCATGTATCACTGTTGCTCTTAATGAGCCAACTAAGCCTAGAAGCCATTGTACCCCTTTTATATAAAGGCTTAAACCCTTTCGCATGTAAATTCTAGTGTTTTTCAACAGTCTGCCGAAATTTTTTTCAGCACGCACATTTTTTGCTGAATTTTCAGTACGTTATTGTTGCATAGCATATACAGGTTATCTGCAGAATGCTCTGGGGAATCAGTAGGCTACATGGAAACAAAATAAGATGATGGATCCTGTAGGATTTTGTATTAGACTTTTTGTTTTGTTTTGTTTTGGCAACAATTTTGGTAATGACAGGATATTGCGCAAGTGTTCAGATTAACCTTAATCCTCAGCATTTAATATATCTGTAAGAAAATATGCAAAAAGTAGATCACTCCTCCTATTTGCTGTGGGAAATCTCCACCATTGAACAACTACCTGTAGGTAAATCTTGATGGAAACTGAAAACATGCATTCCTGGATTGCAGCTGGACAAATGTGCTTATTTACTACTTAATTAATTACAGACTATTTCTCATGACTTACATACCATATAGGCAAAATACACCATCTTCAAGGCTGACTGTTATTGTCCTCAAGAACTTTAATTAGTGTAGCAACAGTTCCTCACATTCAGTACACTGCAAAAGTTAAAGGCAGCTAAGAACATTGTATTAAACCATTTATCTTGGCAGTATGTTTTTGTGCTTTTATAAAAAAACAAATATTAATAGAATAAACAGAAATAAATACAGTACGAATGAACAAAATTTCTAGTTTCCATAAAAGTATTTCTTTCTTGTAAGCTACCCTGAAGAACAAAGTTTGGTTCTAGATTTCTCTGGTAGCAGCGGCAAAGCTGAAGTTCTTCTTTGCCAGCTTGTTGTTCAAATTTTCAGTTCCACCTTAAATAGTACAGCAGTTAGATCCTGGTGCCTATACAGGGGCCAGAATGCGACTGCATCACCTTTAAGGTGGAACTGAAATTTTGAATAAGAGGCTGGCAAATAGGAAATCAACTTGAGCCTCATGTAACATACCTCACAGTCTTACACACAGTGTAATTTAAACTAACATTACTGTGTGTTTAGAAGTCTTAATCTTAAAGCAGCTGGTAAAAAAGATCAGACATCTGAAACAGCATCACTGTGTAATTAGGCTGCTGTTTATGAGCAATTATATACATTTATGGACACAGGTTGTGGAGAGTTTAAGTTTTACACAGGTTTTGCACAGCAGCACATGAAGCATTTAGAGATCATCAAAAAGAGTACTATTAATTTAGACACAAAAAATGAAAAGGGCTTCTTTGGAGACTTTTTTGCCTTACAACACAATTTATGTACCTCCATATTGCATGTATTTAAAAATATGTTTAAGGCGAAACCTTATTTCAGAACTATCGTACAGTGGGTTCAGAAAATATCCAGAGCAGTTGATTTTTTGCACACTTAAATGTGTTTAATGGATTTGATGTTGAATGGATATGATTGCCATATTTACTTACCAATTTACATTTAATCACCCATAATGAAAACAGGTTTTTATTTTTTTTTTCAAAAATTAATTAAAAATCAAAAAAATTAAATCTCTTTTTCACAAAACTATTCAGACCCTTTGCTGTGGCACTCCAAATTGTGGTCAGGTGTATCTTGTGTGTTTGAAAAAATATTGAGCTGTGTCTAGCTGGAGTCTTCCTTTTGCAGTTTCAGTTGACTGGAGATAGCTTGGAATGGCACACACATGGGTCTTTAAGGGTCCACAATTCATGCTATACAGTAAATGCACTACACACTGTATAGTAAATGCAATTGTTTTTAAGTCAAAGGTGAATTGTACACTTGAGAAACACATTTTGAAACAAAATATTAATGTGGACAGGGCGTGATACTGTCATGCATTCCTCTGGCTCAGAGGTTTCCATGGACTCCATCTCCCAGACTCTTCTGGGAGATCACATGACTCCTGACCCTCCAGCATGCTCCAATCACAGATCTCTCTCTCCTGAATACTAATCTGTAACACCTGTTGACCTCTCATTAGCTTTACTATAAAGCCCGGGCTTTTAGAACAGTTCAGTGCGAGGTATTGTTACGGGACGGCAGGGAGGCGGACCGAAGTGCAAAGATGAAAACCCATGAGAAAGGGTGTTAAATAAATTTATTGAGGTAATGGGATGTGAATTTGGCACATTGGGATTGAAGTGACCCAGAGCCAGGCTGAAGGGCATTACCCGGTACTCATAATGCCCAGTGGAGGCCTCCATCCTTCTTTCCAACGAAGAAGAAGGCTGCTCCTGCAGGAGAGGAGGATGGGCGTATGAAACCCAGCTCCAAAGCAGGGGCAGGAGCAGTAGCAGCACTGGCAGGCTGAACCCCCTCAGTCTGTGCCCTGACCAGAAGGGTCAGCTGCTGCATCATGTCCTATACCTGCTCATGCTGGCCAATAACGGCACCCTGACTTTGCAGGGCAGTTTTGATAGGTTCCAACTCTGCTGGGTCCATGGTGGTCACACCTTTCTGTTACGGGATGGCAGGGAGGCAAACCCAAGTGCAAAGATGAAAACCCATGAGAAAGGGTGTTAAATAAATTTATTGAGGTAATGGGATGTGAATTTGGCACATTGGGATTGAAGTGACCCAGAGCCAGGCTGAAGGGCATTACCCGGTACTCATAATGCCCAGTGGAGGCCTCCATCCTTCTTTCCAACGAAGAAGAAGGCTGCTCCTGCAGGAGAGGAGGATGGGCGTATGAAACCCAGCTCCAAAGCAGGGGCAGGAGCAGTAGCAGCACTGGCAGGCTGAACCCCCTCAGTCTGTGCCCTGACCAGAAGGGTCAGCTGCTGCATCATGTCCTATACCTGCTCATGCTGGCCAATAACGGCACCCTGACTTTGCAGGGCAGTTTTGATAGGTTCCAACTCTGCTGGGTCCATGGTGGTCACACCTTTCTGTTACGGGATGGCAGGGAGGCAAACCCAAGTGCAAAGATGAAAACCCATGAGAAAGGGTGTTACATAAATTTATTGAGGTAATGGGATATGAATTTGGCACGTTAGGATTGAAGTGACCCAGAGCCAGGCTCAGACCGCGATGTACAAATTGGTGGTCCGTGGAGTTACCGCTGCGCCATTGGGCAGCACAGGCAACAATGGGTAAAACACCTTAAGGAATGGGAAATAAAAAGGCGGGAAACATGGCAAACAAAGGAAACGCTGAAAGCAGCGTGCTCAAACTAAGGCTGAACTAGAAACGTGAAATAAAATATAATGAGAAAACAAAAGACTCTTCCACAGTAATTATGAAGGGAAGGCAGACTTTATGTTTCACTTGTTTGCTCTTAGAGCAAACACCTTTTGTATGGCTTGGAGCAGTTTGTAGCTCAGAGATTTGGACCACGGCTGCCCAAAAAGGGTACTGTAGAGACATGGAACACCGACTTCTCCAGCTTAACGTATAGGCGGTTCTCCAGCAATAGCTGCAGGATCCGCCTGACGTGCCCGACGTGTTCCTCGAGGGAGCGACTGTAAATGAGTATGTCATCGAGGTAGACGTACACATTAATGACCCAGGGCCTCTCTGAGGACTGCATTAATGAAGTGCTGGAAGACTGCCAGGGCGTTCATTAGCCCGAAGGGCATTACCTGGTACTCATAATGCCCAGTGGGGGTGATGAACGCCGTCTTCCATTCATCCCCCTGCCTAATGCAGATGAGGTTGTAAGCATTGTGCAAGTCCAGCTTAGTGAATATTGCGGCTTGCTGCAGTGCCTCAAATGCTGTTGACATGAGGGGCAGGGGATGGCGGTCTTTTATGGTGATGGTGTTGAGACCACGGTAATCCACGTAAGGGCGGAGGCCTCCATCCTTCTTTCCAACGAAGAAGAAGCCTGCTCCTGCGGGAGAGGAGGATGGGCCTATGAAACCCAGCTCCAAAGCAGGGGCAGGAGCAGCAGCAGCACTGGCAGGCTGAACCCCCTCAGTCTGTGCCCTGACCAGAAGGGTCAGCTGCTGCGTCATGTTCTGTAACAGCTGCTCATGCCAGCCAATAATGACACCCTGACTTTGCAGGGCAGTTTTGATGGGTTCCAACTCTGCTGGGTCCATCGTGGTCACATCTTTCTGTTATGGGATGGCAGGGAGGCGAACCCAAGTGCAAAGATGAAAACCCATGAGAAAGGGTGTTACATAAAGTTATTGAGGTAATGGGATGTGAATTTGGCATGTTGGGATTGAGATGACTCAGAGCCAGGCTCAAACCGCCGACATACTGATCGGCTGACAAAGGCTGAACTAGAAACGTGAAATAAAAGAATGAGAAAACAAAAGACTCTTCCACTGTAATTATGCAGGGAAGGCAGACTTTATGTTTCACTTGTTTGCTTTTAGAACAAACACCTTTTGTATAGCTTGGAGTAGCTTGTAGCTCAAGCCTTCTTGTGTCTTTTTTTTTGGAGTAATTTTGGGGCAATTACCCTCTTTTGTTTTTCCAGCTCTCTTTTCTTTTCTTTTTTTTCTTTTCTTTTTTTTCTTTTCTTTTCTTTACTTTTTGTTTAAATACCCACCTGGGCTGCAGACCGTACCGGTCACCCCTCTACAAAGGTGTGACAAAGGGCTGCTGTTTGCCACAGCCTTAAGTAGAGGAGTCCACAGGTGTGTCAGGTTGGGCCTAATCAGCCTGAGGGCTTCTGGGAATTGGAGTTCTCCTAAGTTATGGCACTTCTCCGCCGTCGCCCTCTGCTGGCAGCCAGTGGCGCAGGCTGGGCACCATGCCACTGTCGCCCCCTGCTGGCGGCCGGTGGTGCAGACTGGACCCTTATAGGTATTGCTTATTTCTTTAGCTACTGAGCGTTTGTTTCCTGTATTGCATTTTCTGGTTTTGACTGATCTTCTGTATTTTGACTTACCCTTTTTTGCCTGACCCCTTTTGGATTGTTTTTGCCTGTTGTTATGTTTGTGTGTCTTTACTTGCTGCCCTTTTTGGATTTGACCCGTACCTGTTTCCTGAGTTTAAGGTTAATGCTTGCAGACTCTCCTCTTTAGCTCATCCCACAGGTTCAAGGTGACTGGAATGGCCATGGCAAAACCTTGGCTCTGTGGTCAGTGAACCATTTTTGTGTTGATTTTGAGGTATATTTTGGATCATTGTCCAACTGAAAGATCCAACTCTGGCCCAGTTTCCTGGATGAGGCAGTCACATTTTGATTATTATCTGGTTGTATAGCATACCATGTATCCGAACAAGTTGTCCAGGGCTTGTGGAAGGAAAACAGATCCACGACATTACAGATCCACCACCATACTTCACAGTGAGCTTCTTTTCTGCATGGCTATCTTTGTATGTATGCCAAACCCTTTCTTCAAGGATGTTCCTGTATTTGGCAGCTCTCATCCTCAATTCTTACCTGTCCCTTTATCCCTGCTGCTGAGAAACACCCCCATTGCTGCCACCACCACGTCTCACTGTAGGGGTGGTATTAGCCACGTAATGTGCAGTGCCTGTTTTTCACCAGACATAGTGCTTGCTGTACTGCACAAAGAGATTATTTTTTTGTCTCATCAGCCCAAAGAATATTTTACCTCATGTTGCTGAGTGCTTAACATGCTGTTTAGCAAACTCCAGGCAGGCTGTCATAAGCATTTTATGTAACAGTGTCTTCCATCTTGCCATTCTGCAGTAAAGGCCTGATTTATGGAGGGCTGTAAGTGTCAGTCTTACAGGTTCTGCCATCTTTGCACAGGACTTTTGGAGCTCTTATAGAGTGACCACCTGACAATAATTGTGCCACAGCAAAAGGTTTGAATACTTTTCTGAATAAGAGATTTTAGTTTTTATTTATTTTTGACTCTAAAAACATGTTTAACTTCATTATCATTGGAAATTAAGTGTAGATTGATGGGTAAAAAAGGAAATTATATGAATTACATCAACAACACAATAAAGTGTGCAAAAAGTCAAAGGGTCTGAATACTTTCTGTATCCACTGTAGGTGGCATCATGTGCCATCTGATTGTAGTTTTGGAGACATTCTGACCTTAAGACTACCTAATGTGTGAATATCTCCAGTTGTGATCCTTGTAGAATCTTTGGCCACTCCAACCATACTATACCGTAATCATCCTCACTGTGTGTGCAGTCAGTACAGGCATATGTCCTCTTCTCATCATATTCTTAACATCTCTGATTGCTTTAAAATTCTTAATTTTTCCTTGATAGTGGAAATGGGCATTTTCAACTGTAGCCATTTCCTGATTTGTGCAGCTCATCATTCTGTATTCTGTATTCTCTGCTGTATTCTCTGGTCTTTCTTGAAGTGATGGGTAACTAAGGGAACTTGGCTTTTGTGTTCCTAATCACCCAGGTGAACTTTAAATCAGTTAATTTCAATCACTAGAATTTCTAGGGGTGTCACTAATTGTGGAACACACAGATTGGAGAAAAATATTCACTTCATGATGAGGAATCTATTTCAGCGATTTTTAATGTTTTCTTTGTGTTGTACATGTGGATTTTGGATAGATTTGGTGCAGGGTACATCAGGGTGTAACAATGAAAATCTAGGTTGAAATGTTGTATAATGTTATCAAGGTAATTTATCTAAATAACAAATAATTCCAAGAACTGATTTTTGGAGGAGCCCTTGAGTGACAGTTTAGGTGGATGAAGTATAGCCAGAGAGGGTAATAAAAATGTTACTTACCACTTAAATGTTTGGTCACACTGGTCATTAGAGGTGTTTTAATTTTCTCTTGCTTCTGTTGAGGTAGATCACCTTCAAATCCTTGCTGTTTTGTTTGATCATATTCATGCAGTTCTGTTGTCTCCTCATGTTCCTCCAGTTCCATTTGGTCATACTCTTGTAGTTCTTCTGTTTCTTCATGCTCTTGCTCTTTTGTATGATAATCCTCTTTCACTTCTGTTGTTTGCTCAGACCCTTTCTGTTCTAAAGAAAGTGGAGCCTCCTCAAACTCCTCACAGATAAGGCTCCCTCCATTCTCTTCAACTATCTTTTCTATCATTTCCACAAAAGTTGCACAACTAAACATACTCCACTCTAAATGTCTGTTACTGTATTTTGTGATGACTTTCTGTATGATGTTCTCCTGAACTGGGCCTGCACTGGTGCCAGTTTCTTTGTCCTGTGTTGACAGAACCAGGGTGTATTTATGGGCCTCCTCAGACAGAGAGCTGAAGATGTGATCCATTCGGTTGCTGTCTGTCTCAGTGAAGTCATCTGGCTGTAGAACCAGCACTATAACATGAGGTCCAGGAGAACACAGAGACATGCACTCTTTAATCCGCACTGTGATCTTATACATAGAGAGTTCAGGATCAAACAGGTGAGGAGTGTTGATGAGGGTGATATATCTTCCCTCCACATTTCCTCTGGCTCTCTCACTGTGCCGCTGTACTGAAGGAGGAGGAGCTTCAGTATCAAACATGTCTCTTCCCAGGATCGAGTTTGCCACTCTGCTGATCTCTGAGCTGTTCTTGCCCAGCAGCACAACCCTTAATTCAAACGCTGGACAATGAATGAGAAAACATAAAATATGAAGGTATGTCACACTTACTACACATCAGATATTTTTATGTTAATATTTCTATGATTAACAGCTTGTTTTGTGGATAAACATGCATCTTACTTTCAAATTTCTAAGCACATTTTCCTTGTTCAGTGGTAGATACACACAGCATCATTCAACTGTTATGCCTACCATGGTAATATCTGTTTCATAATATGGTTATAATTAATTCTAGCACCTTTCAGCTTTCAAAATGAATAACTAGACATGAAAAATAGCTGTTTGTAGCTTTATTTAAAGTTTATTTAGAATTTTCTGTAACATTTTCATGTTTAATTTTCTATTAAGAAGAAAAAGAAACTTGCAGAACTAAGTAGTAATTGTACTGGTTTAGTTTTATGGTAGATGCTATCTACACATAGGTCTCTATTTTCATGCCAGCACAACTGCAGTCTAATGGTAAAATGCTGACATATTACTCATTTGGTTTGACGCAAACCCATTTGCTCTCATTTTCTATTTATATATACTGTTTATGGAGCCTTTAGAAATATAAATATGTTTCTTAATAATTATGGCTAATTTCATGAACTACAGTGCTTGGTAAAACATATTTCAATAATGTAATATAAGTTATATATTTGAATAAAAAAAGACTACTACTAATAATAATACCATTATTATTATTATTAATATTGTTATTATTATTATTATTATTATTATTATTATTGAAAAATATGTACTCAACCTAATATGGTTGTTTAACTAGTTGAAGTAGGAAAATAACCAATTTAATAGGTTTAGGTTAGTGCTACATCATTTAATAAGTTATTACTCTCAGAGTTACGCTCAGTAGGTTACGTGGTAACTTGCCCTTACATCCCATAACAATGTGGCTAGGGGGTTAACCATGAAGTGAAGGTGAAGGTGAAGATCTAAAAAAGAAGTTTGCCAGCTCAGCCTCATTCACCAAGGCAGTGCGCGTCCATAAATGTGAGAGGTGAAGCTTCTGATGGAGAACTAAAGGGAGGCGTGTAATTGTTTTGCTGTTGAGTTAAAATTTCAACAGTTGTTCTCCAGAATTATATACAGCATCTTTAAAAAGTAACTACACCCTAAGACCTTTTTTTCATTAACAGCTGAAATGCACTGTTCTGTAACAATAAAATATACCAGCCTTGCTTAAAATGTCAACACATCTTTCCAAACTTACCAAAAAGTCATGGTCATGGTCTGACTCTGCAGCACCCCTCTGGTTCAACTCTGCTATAGGCACGGATGACATGTCTTCGTACTAACGTACCATGACACGTCACAATATGTGAATCAGTCAAACAAAGTTACCGCCCCCTGATGATGCCCTAGTTGGGCCGCACTCATAAATATGAAAGCACAGGAGCCTAGAGCGAGGAGACTAGAGACCACACACTGAGCACACACTCAGCACCACTTCACAACGCTGCGACATGCCAGCTGTCTGTACCAACTGTAAATAACTTGATTAATCTAAGCTTAGTTTGCAATAAAGATATTGGACCAATTAAGTGAGGATTCTTGCAAGTCTCCATAAAGCTGCCAGTGTTGCATCCGATTCACGTTTCCCTCCACAACTCAAACTCTCGGGCACTGCGCTCACTGAACAGAAATCAATGGCAAGCAACACTGGAACTACGGAAAGCGAAACGGTTTAGGAAAGGTTAACGTTAAATGGTCATTGTTACCGACTGTGTCGACCTCTCATCTGTACAGCCTTTCTTGAACTTTTTTTCTCGCTTTCTGTGGTTCCAGTGTTGCTTGCCATTAATTTCTTTTCCATGAGTGTGCATCTGAGAGTTCAATTTATGAAGGGAAACGTGAATTTGAGTGGGAACTGAAATGGATGTGACAGTGGTAAGTGCCATGAACAGCTTGCAGAATGTAGGGATTTAGGGCCTTTGCAGCAAACCCTGGCTGACCGGTGATGTAGTCTTGATGTCAAACTGAATTAAACTTAGACAGTGTTCAAAGAAATCCATGGAATTCAGTGCCTCTAAGTAATCAGGACTCTGCTGAACACATAATTAGAAGCTGGCTGTCACGGTTTTATGGAATGTTTTTGCTACCATTCAGATGCCACTGCTGCTCATTGCTAATCATTTTCTGGCACTATGTTAGCTAACTCTTCTGCGGTTTGAGTCAGTGGCTGATACTGTTGTGCATATAAATTTTCAACCTCGTAAGACCTCTCAGTTGCTAAAGTGCCATTTGATTCTGTCACTCTCCATATTTTTGGTAGCTAACGTATGCTAGCTCTAAAAACACAGCAGCCCAGCCCGCCCGGTTTCCCTCACAGCCCCACGTCCAAACCCATAGATCACTGCAGTGCCCCGCCCAGCATGTTGTGTTGAGCCAGTGACGCTATGGCATTTTGAATGACTCTGCTTGGTCACTGTGCATGTAATCAACAGCAGACTATTTTTAGTTTGAGTCTATGTCAGTCAGACACATTACAATGTCTGTATTAGAGTTTGTTTCGAGATCCTGCCCCTTTGAGAGATCCACCAATCATCAACATACAGAAGCTGAGCTTCCATGCAGGAAGTACATGTGAAAAGCACACAATAGCCTCACAGACTCCCAGTGTAGCATGCTGTCCAGGCAAAACCCATAATGGCATTGTAACAGCCTGTCGTCCAGTAAGCGCTGATCTTTGCTCCACTAAAATAGCATGTATTTGAATCTGTCATTGACTTGCACTGAGGCCCAGTGTATCAAAAATAGCTGATGCTATTTTGCTCTCAGAGCATCACCTTCTCACATGTAAACCTGGGAACGTTAACAGTTGACATTGAAAAAAAGGACAAATGTTTATTCCACTATACTAGATACATCTCAGAATTTTGCATAGCAACGATATTTAATTCAGCATTTAGTAGATGCATTTAGTAGCTCAAATGGCCAACAAGAGATTTGTATATTATTTTACCCTGCTAACATTACTAACTGCAAAACATGAGTACCTTAACATGCCACAGACATGACTGAGAAGTCCGAATGAGCAAGGCTAGGCTATCAAGAGGTAGAAAAGATATTTCACTGTTCTCAGTGACCCTGTTTACACCTTGTCACTTAATGTGACTAGTATCTGGATTGTATCGTGATAAGATTTTAGCCACATGCATTTACACTTGGTAGTAGTAAATGCATCTCTGGTCAGTCAGACTGAAATTTGATTGCTGTGTGGGATGGAATATGCAAATCCTTTCTTTGGCCAGAACCAATTACCAACTGTTTATCTGTGGACACTTATAGTGTTGTTGCTCTTAGCTTTCTTATATGTTAGTTGCAGGTTCTTTATCTTCCATTGGCACTACAGCCATGTTCTTTGAAAGCCGTTCTCTGAAAGCTGTTTAGAGATTTGTTTGAACATTGCATTGTTCCTATATATCGTCTGCAATTTGTTTTGCACAGTAGTGTCTGTCCATATTGATGTTAAGCATTTTTGTTTCACCCAGGGCCCCAAACTTGTGCGTCCTCCATGATTATCTTCTTCTCAGGCACCAATGTATTGCATGGGGAGGAGTTTCAGTTGTACTGGGAGGGGTTTTGGTTGTCCAATGTGTAGATGGATGTGTTTACACTGCTATAACATGTGGCTCAAATGTGGCTCAGACCACCTTCTGAAGTTGTTTGAGTGATCAGATTTGTATCTGTTTTAAATGCGTCTTGGGTGTGTTTACACTCACTTTTTCATGTAACTTGGCCTTATCCAGATATAATCCTGATACTCAAGATGCATGAAGTGACCACATATAAATAGGGTCGGTGTTACCAACAAGCCAACATCCACACACATCATCCTCTGAGCAGCCTCATGTAAAAGATGATGACTGCCTCTCATCTAACCTTAACTGATTGGGTTATGACGTAACCCACAGTGGTTAAAAGATTTCCCTTTGCTTTTACATGACCAAAGCAGTTCAGTAAAAAAAAAAAAATCTTGTTTATAAATGTGAGTTAACTCTGTCTGCTTCCTTTGCACTACTGATTTTGTAGAACAGCACTGTTGGATAGCCCTGCTGAAAAAGAACCATTAGAATCAAAACCTAATGGTTTTGCTTTCTAATGTGAATTGGCTTAGTGGTTTACAATAGAGACCACTAGTTTCCTGTAGAACACCTTTAGATCCCATTAGGAAACCACCAAATGCATTTAGAACCAGCCACTGGTCTCATGTTAAACCATTAGGATCCTTAACATTGTGATATCAACTCATTAAAAAGCCAAAACACATTACAAAACCATCAAGAACCAGCGGAAACACTTAATGGTTTCTATGGGTTGTTTTCAGAGGGAGATGACTGACAAAGTAATGTTACAGCAATTCTGAGACTAAAAAAAGTACTGTTCGCAGCATTCCGAATGTAAACGGTACCTAAAGATGATAACAGAGTGGTCTTTTTTCCATGGCAGCTAGCTGTCATTAGAATATCGTCTTCTCCAGCCTAGCTAAACACAGCATGCTCCACAAGCAAGCATCAACTTTTTATGCAGGTCATATATGCGCATGTGCAAACTTCCACTGGTTTCCATACATTCATACTGTATATCAGACGCAGCTCACATAAAGTAAACAAACAGCCCCAGAGTGCAGTGATATAGCTAGAGTAGATATTTTACTTTGCAATCACTAAAAATACTGAATTTCAGCAGATGCCAGCAATACAGAGGTGTTGTTATTCATTTCAGTGCCATGTGGCGATGACATTTTAGGGTAATCCGTGCTTCTCATGTAGTTTTAAAACAACCGCCACTGATTGTATGAAATTGGAATGTCGCCTTTTCAGTCTTAAAATCATACTTAGACATGATACTTAAAGTGATTTAATGTTAAACTTATACATGACATACTTCAGATCTATTTTAATATAGTTTTGTAGTAATCAGATCCTTACCAGTGCCTGAAGACATTCCGTGACTGGACTCAAGCTCAGGAAATTCCTAAAGAAAACAGTGGAGGGTCCAGATAGGAAGATAAGGTGTGAGAGCATGGGATTCTCTCACTGCGGCTTGCTCACTCAGTGTAGTTTCATCCCTGTGGCGGAGTACGAGTGCCAGAGCTGGTTACAGTGGAGCCTGCCCACTTTCTATCTTTCTCCTTTTATCAAAAACATGACTACAAATTGCCAGAGGGCACCTGCAAGCGAGTCCCCAAAGAATGGGAGTGAATGGAGCCAAAAACGAAAAATTCAACTTGTTTTTAACCATTTGTGTAGGAACTTCTTTTAATTCAGGAAAGGAGAAGGATGCAATTATTTAAAAATGAAAGAAAACTTATCACTATCTGTCAATTTTTCAAAAAAAAAACTAACTAAGTAAACTAACTAAAAAAAAGTAAACTAACTAAAAAGTTTCCCAGCACTAAGAAAAACAATCTCTGGCATGGAAAGTGACTGACTGAAAGGCCTCTTCAGTTTCTTTCAGGAGAACTCCCATGTAATATAGATATATATATATATAATGTAGATAATTTAATTCAAGGTACTAAATTAAGAAAAATGCTATACCTTTCACAAATACTTTTCCTTAAGAATGCTATACCTTTTTATAAATGTAAAGTTGTAAACTGTAAAGTCATTAAGGCCAGTTCTTTAAAGTGTCGTGATATTTTTCTTTAGTGAAAGTCAATCTTGTCTTGAAATAACTTGATTTTTTTTTTAAATGTAGCAATAATAACAACATTTTAACATCAGCTTTTAATTAAGATAAAATCTATAAGCTATTGTGGGGTGGGGTTTAGCAAAATGAGTACTGAAATATATGTTTTTCCAAGCACAGCAAAAAAAAAAAAATGTTAATATCTTTAAAACTTGTTAACATAATATTTTTATTTTGAGATTGCTGTAAGAATAAGCTGATTAACTTGTTTCTAGACATTTTTACTTGTTTCAAGCAATTTTAATGTAATACTCTTCTATTTTCAGAACAATATTAAAATTAGAATTATATATTTACACTAGATTTAAAATTTCACTTTCCAAGATATATTTTTTCCACAATGTAAATATAACATATGAAATTGTCATCCTTCTGCCTCTTCCTCCTCCCTGTGAACAAGGTCTCCTGCTGCCATACTAATCCTGTGTAGGGTGACACAGGCAGAAATCACCCTGTAGCACAAACCCTGGGTGGACTGTAAGGGCATGCAGGACCCCACCTGGTCTTCAGCTTCCCAAAAGCATATTCGGTTATATAACATGCTCTTACATGATACCTGTTGAATGTTACCCGCTCTTCTCCTCTTAC